TGGATGAGTACATTGCCAGTTACAAGAACACTTTTGCTAGACAGTCTCGATCTGCTTCTTTCTCGTCCCTTTCTCAAAAATTGCACAGTCGGCGTTCTGCAATCCTTGGGCATTGTCAATCCAATGCGACTTCGTCTTCCAATCATGTGAGCCARCAACATTCACTTCGTTGTGCACATGCCTCCTTACGCCATCTGCAACAACACTTTGCYATTGTYCCTGTGGACAAATCATCCCACAATTTGGCAATTTGTTGCAAGAATTGGTATTTCTTTCACCTCTCTACCCATTTGGACAGTCCCACTTATACTCGTCCTCATGAATCYGTYGCTGATGTRCTCAACCACCATGCACTATGGAATCACCATYGSGGTTATACCCACACTGATACCCTGCCTTACCTATACTATGTGTTGAAAGCCCACAAGTCTCCTCCAGCTCTTCGCAACATTCTTGGAGTCACAACACAGAATACTTGTCCTGTCCYCCCACGCACTCGCTCTCGTCCTTCAATTCGCACCATTCATGAACGGCCTCCTTACAAACCCTTGGCTAGCACAACGGTTACTTCGTCCTGTCTCAGCACTGCTTTGCAAGGCGTGATCTCTACTCTTCGTGAGAAAGACACTGAGCTCTATCAACAGGAAGGTGTTCGACGGTGCTGGATCGTCCAGAGTGYCGATGAGGTGGCGATTGACCTGAAAAACAATGTGTCCTCTCTACGTGGCCTCTCTCCTCGCACGGTTAATTTTACCACAATGTACACCAACCTTCCTCATGACCGCATTCTGAATAATGTGGCAAAGGCTGTTGATGAAGCTCATGCTTATGCCCTTCAGCATACCCGCATGCATTCGCGCTGCAGAGCCTTGAACATGTTTATTCGCGGGCCTCGCTCTGGCCAATGGACAACCGATTCAGGACCAGACAACCTTTCCGTTTCTCAGATTCTCCAACATCTTCGCTTTGTTGTAGAAAACACTTTTCTGTACACTAGAGGTGGCAGTCTTCGAAAGCAAATCATTGGTATTCCAATGGGAACAAATGCTGGCCCAGAAATCTCCAATCTAACGCTCTATTGGGATGAAGCACGCTTTATTGATGACATTCGTCAACATGATCCCCAAGCTGCTCAGGGATACGCCTTCACTTACCGCCTCATTGATGATGTTCTTTCATGGGGGCAATTACCTCCTCCTTCAGAGCACTATGGGCTCGAGTGGAAGGAAACTACGACTACAGATGGCTCGTGTACCTTTTTAGGTATGCATCTACGGGTACGTTCTGATGGTTCGCTTCTCATGAGCGTGTTTGATAAAGCGGYTGCTTGGGATTTCCCTGTTATTCGCTATCCAAGTGCTACCTCCAACATCCCTTCCCATCAACCGGCAGGTGTGTTCACTGGGCAATTGACCAGATTTTAACGCATCTGTAATAATTGGCAGGACTTCCTAACTGCAGCGACAACACTCACTCGTCACATGCTTTCTCGTGGCCATTCCCCACCAACCCTCGCTAAAGGATGGACCTGCTACACACGCTCCCGCCAACGTCTCTATCCTACACACGTCACCCGTCTCTCTCAGTGGTTCCGACGCATGCTGCAATGGTCCTTGCATCACCCACTTTCTTCTTTATCCCCACATCGCGCTCGTCCTGTCACTGCTTGTTCATCTGCTGCTAATGCAGTTCCCACT